GAACCACTCCATAGGAATGAACATGTGGATGGTAAAACCTATCCACAACGAGATTCAAAATACTGGGAAGAAGGCAAGCCAAGAGCAGGCCCAGAAGCTGCAGCTACAAAATTAAAATACAATGGAACCAGAACCAGAAACCCACCTATTTGCAGAAGTACAGGATCACTTGGAAGTTGGAAGATAGCACTAAAACCATTTTCTTTAGCAAAAGATGGAAGATGAGAGACAGAGTTCCACAGATAATGGAGAGCACAAAAACTGAGAAATGAAGCACAGATTCACCAAAGTTCAATACTTGGAAATATCCAAGGAATTGATATGTACTCCAACCTACAAGGGAAGCATCGATGAAAAACATAAGACCCCAAAAGTTGGTCACTGTCTCACCACCACCAAACAACTTTGGTCCGATGGAAAGAATGAAATACAACCAGATGAACCAAGGGATCCAAGCAAACCAATGAAGCCCAAATCCCTGAAAGAAATAGAACCTCTCAAGGTAGCCAGGAATTGGCCTTGAAGACTAAATGCTCCATATCCCAAATACTGAGTGGAGAATGAAATGTCCAAATGATGTTGGGAAGGGAAGAAAATAACCCAAGAGAACCAAAAAGAGGGAAAATAGAAAACCCTCATATTAAAGAAACAAAGTGCACAATCTGCCTCCTCCAGGAGCAAACTGATGGGGACTGAAGACAGGAAGAAGCCACAAATCAGTTGTCCCGAGAAAGATGAGACTGGATGACTAACACTGGTAGACATCCAACAAAGTTTGTGACTACTCAAAAAACATGGAATGGATCCAAGGGAAACCCAAATGGAAGGGCCAGGAACGGAAAAATATCCTCCCCCTGAAAGAATATGGGAAAGGTTGCAACTACTATGTCAAACAAGGACACCTACAAACAAGGTGTGAAAACCCAATGAAGAGACAGAAACAACAACCTGGTGGAACAATGAGGAACCAGATGCTGAAGTAGACAGGAGAGGTCGATAACAAGCCACCATACATCAGTCGAGGAGAGGACAATGAAAGGCTTAGAGGAAAAGTCCTGGACAGACTAGAAAGTCTTTTTTCCTGGACAGTCTTTTTTTCATAGAACCCATGGAATGGAAGTGAAGGTCTCCCAAAAGTCAACAAAACAGAGAAACCCAGTCTCTACAGGATTTGACTCCACCATGTAGAGATCCATATCATAGTCAACATCCAAGGTGAGCATGGGAAAATGAGCAAAAAGGGGAGAACATTGAGATGCAGGTAAAAGACAAAAGGGGAAGTAAGCAAGATGACTGCATTGATACAGGACCCCAAAAAAAGTAAAACATGTCTCAAAAACTGTATTATACAAAAACGGAGCCAATTTAAATTCTCCTTGAATGGTCATTTCTTGGGCTCATTGTCACCTGTGGACTTCCATTTCTTCTGACAGGAGCTGACACACCTTGAGAAGGTTGGTTACTTCATCTCGCCAACAAATCTTAGAGAATCTGTGTTTGAAGATATGAGCAGCCACAGGTAATCCTATAAGTGTTTCCACAACATGTCAAAAGCTGCATGCCATGAATTTACACAGAAAAGTTACAGCCCACAAGCCACTGATAACAAAAACAAATGCACACTTTTGATTGGCATGAGGCAAGGCACACCAAACCTGGACCGTATATCAATGGAAATCGGTCCTGTGGAGCAACGAGTCATGCGACATGCTCTTCCAGTCTGATGGACGTGTTTAAGTATGGAGGATGCCTGTAGAACACTTATCACCTGAATGTGTTGTCCCAACAGTGAAGTTTGGAGGTGGTGGTATCATGGTCTAGGGGTGCTTCTCGTGGTATGGACTAGGTCCACTGATTGTAGTGCATGGATCCATGAATGCTGAGTCCTACATTGATGTTCTGAACAATTCTGTTTGTCCTACATTGTGGCAATTTTATGGTACTCGCCATTACATCTTCCAACATGATATACTCCATGTCACAAAGCAAGGACTATGAATGTGTGGTTTAAAGAGAATAACATCAGAACATTGCAGTGGCCAGCACAGAGCCCCGACGTCAACCCGATAGAACATCTTTGGGATGAACTGGAATGCAGAATTGGGGCAATACCAATATGGCCCTCTTCAGTAGCAGAGCTTCAAATAAGGAGTGGAGCACAATACCACCAGCTTTCTACCATTAATAAGTAAACAGTCTTCCATGACACATTGAAGCAGTCATTATGGCCAAAGGTGGGTCAACATGCTATTAATTTCTTGGAATAAAGACATTTTATTCATAACTACCTGTATCCCTTTATTTTTGGTAGGATAGTGTAGATCTAAGCATGAACAAAAAATTACCTTCAACAAAAACAAAAGAAAATTTCAAGTGTTATGCAAATTAAACATCCACACAATCTCTATACCTGCCTGTAAAATGTTGAACAAACAGGGATGACAATGTAGCTTCAACTTTATTCTGCATATCACAGGTACTTGCATAAGTAAGGCCTTCAACTAAGTTAAAGTAACTTGGATAGTATTGAAAGTAGTTGCATCAGAAAGCATGCTTTAGCAAAGTTAATAGCACAACTCTAAAACTGTGAACAACAGGATCTATATTATTTTGAAAAGCAGAGTTTATGTACAATCCTCTCAACTTTGCACAATAAACAACATGGAAGGTGAGAGAGAGTGGAAAATTATGGGTACGTTATCCATCTTCTGCAATGGATAAAGAACATTCAGAAATGTTTAGTTACATGTTTTGTTGACAAAATGAATTCAAACTGTACAAGGAAAAACTTTTAATATTCCAGAGTTAAGTATCAGATTTGAAGTGACTTTTTTGAAGCACTTAAGACTGGTTGGAATTAAGATAATCTGTTTCTGGATGGTCTGTCTGAATGATGGAACAGAAGTATAGGAAATACAAAATTCAGTATTTAAATATTAGGAGTAATACATGTAGATTTAAGCTGTAAGTCCAGTAAGTCCAGTTTCAAATTTGTGTAGCAATATTATTTATAATTTACATGTAGAGTACATCTCTCTTACGATTAGGTTCAGTTGCTTAAATTATTTTTAACTTTTATTGAATAAACATACCGATAGAAAGAGCTGCATGTATATTTAGTTTGATTCTTAGCTATTTACTGGTTTTGATGGATGAACTAAATGGCATTCTGTGCCTTTTGTGCTTTTCTTTTTTCTTGTACTTGTGATATTTCATGAATACAAGACTATGTAGAAGCAATAACAGTAATTAATGAAGACTATATGTTTGATATGTAACATTAAACACACTAACAACTAGGTACATGGGTTGGTTTGTAACAATTTATAATCCAGTACCACTAGAGTATGGCCAGGCATGGCCAGGTGGTTAGGGTGTTCAACTTGCAATCTGCAGGTTGCAGCTTCAAATCCCCATCCCACATGCTCACCCTTTCAGTCGTGGGGGCATTCTAATGTGATGATCAATCCAGTATTCATTAGTAAAAGAGTAGCCCAACAATTGGCGGTGGGTGGTGATGACAAGCTGCCTTCCCTCTAGTTTTTCACTACTAAATTAGGGATGGCTAGTACAGATAGCCCTTGAGTAGCTTTGTGCAATATACAAAAAACAAACAAATGACTAGAGTAAAAGCAGGAAATTTGAAGACCTGTTTTACTGTTTGCTTTCACAAACTTTTCTTCAATTTCATAATATCCTTATTTTTCATTTTTTGGTGTTATATCTTTTAATATTACTAACAGTATACTTTGTAAAAAAGTGTATGTACTTGGTTTGTGCTGTTGCTTGAACCAAAGACTTAAGTATTAAAAAATGCATTTTGAAATATATTTTACTATATCTCTAAAGTATTGTTACAGCTACAATGTAATGAATGTGTAATTGAACTGTGGACTGAGACAGAGAGACATATTGTTGAGTCGAGCACGTGAGGCGTTCATTGTGAATTATAGCATTTGTTATAGCGTGACTGTGAAAATTAAGTGTATTGCAAAGTTGTATTCAGAAAGAATAAACCAGTTTTATTTAAGAAAGGACTTGTGTCACTAAAGTTTCATTAGAAAGAATTTTACGGAAAATTAACTAACGAATGGAGACGTCACGTCTTGACTGTCTTATATATAAAAGAATACCAAAGTCTAGTAACCTCCCAAGGATTCACGAAGCTTCAAGAATATGACGTGTTACTAGCGTCACGTGACTTCCGCTGTCGTAACAGTATATTTAAAATATGCTTTTGTATTGTTTTCTCACCTTGAAATTTTACTGATTCTTACATGTCCACATTTTACACACTTTCTTTTACAACATTCATAATTGATTATGATACTTTTTATCCTATTCTTCAATATTTAATTGTTTTGGTTTTGTGAAGTAAATGCTTTATTAATCTGTTTAAATTTATCAATATTCACAAATACTTATTCAGTTAGCTCTTTTCGTCATCTGAAAGTTACTTATCTTATTTTATCTTATTAACCATAACAAATCTTTAATCCCACTTTAAATCCCTTTGATTATTTCTAATGATGTTATATCTAATTAGAAGATTGTGTTTGAATGGCTTTAGTTTTAGAAAACACAGCTTAATGCAAAGCTACATTTGTCCTTTAGATTTCAAAGCTTTTGTAAAATTTTTCACCATTAAAAATGGGTGGATACTTGCTGAATTCCCTCTTTGTTTTATGCATTTTAATAGATAAAGTGGATATAAATAAAGTAATTAAATTTTGCATAATTGAATAAGATGAGCCTAAAATATGATTTTATCTCTTCAATACCAATCATTGATTTTATAGGAACTTTGTATTTGTTATTTGTTTTTTCCTTCTAGTTATCCATGAACAAATCATGCAACTTCAATCAAATCTAGAATACATACAATGAAAGGAAACTGATAAGAATTAAATGAGTTAAAAGCCCAAAAACTGGGTACAACAAGTACAGAAAAGGTTAGAGTAATGACCATATTGTACAAAGTTTAAGAATGTTCTTATTACCTGACTCAGATGAAGAGCTTGAACTTGTTCCAGATGTCAGTGCAGATCCATGAAACTTACTTGTAACAACAGGGAAAATAACAGATTTGTTTACCAGTTTTGGAGAAGTGGTGTTAAAATTAAGATTCTTTGTAGGAGATTCTAATCCATGTTTCTTTTTCTCTGAACTAAGAAATATTTGTTTTGTTGGAGGAATCAGCAAAGGTGACTTTCTTGGAGGCACTGAAATTGTCACCAGAGGAACTTTTATGGGTAATTTCAATGGAACTACTTTCTTCTCAGTTTCTTGTTCAGAATCATCTGATGATTTAGATTTTTTATAAGGCCTTTCTTCTTTTTCAGGTACATTGAAATCTTCCATTTCCATCAGTTTGGCAGATTTCTTTCTCACACGACCAGATCTAGAAATACCACCAATTCCATGCATGTCTGATTTTTTTATTCAACCTACATGAGAATAGAGACATTATATCATACATGCATTATAAAACAGAAATAAAAACTCTTCACTTCATTTAACTTAAGTAATAATTGCAATAATCATTACTGTTATAAATACTAAAAATAGTGAAACCCCACCTTCAATTCTTTCGTACAAAAGAATAAAGTACAACAATCAACCCACTCAGTAAATCATAAATTATACTTTTTTGCATCAAACATACTTGACTAATTATAGTTTATTTACATTGTATGTATTGATACATATTACACACTATTCTTATCATCATTTGTTTCAAAACATTACAGTTATTAAAATGGACTTTTTTGATTCTGCATCATACATTGCCAATCTAAGCAACCAATGACAATTTTGGTATTGATTTAATAAATTTATTTGACAATAAAAATATTCAACAAAATTACAGATAACTGAACAGAAGTTATACAACTAGTTAACAGGGACAATGGAAGAAAAATAGAAGACATAAGTGTGGCCCTGGGAGGTTCTAAGGAAATAAAACAAAGTCATTCAACCCATAGGAATAGATACTCTCCCTCATTGAAATTATCAATGAAAACATTCGAAGAAAATGAAATCTTGTCCTTCATATCCATATAATTATCTAACTAAAGTAAAATATCTTAAACTAATTGCATATGGCAAACCGCTTAACAATTTTTTTAATTCTAACCAAAAATAGTTTTATCAAAGAGCAAGTAATCATCTATAATTCTTAAGACATTAGCATTAGGCCTATTACATTTTCAACCCTTTGACTGCAGCTGCTTTAAATGTAAACAGAATATTTGCACACTGTATACAGCACACTCGCTTTCAACTGCCAGAAACTAACTGTATCCTGTAAGGCAAATCAGCAGTCAATGGGTTAAAGACTACATTCTTAATCTAGTCCCTTACGGATTTTCAAGAATTAGAAGTATTCCAATCACACTATAATTGTCAACTCCATTGCCAATGACACCATTTTACTCAACCTACAGCTCTTCATGCCAGCTGGGATACAACAAACACAGCAATAGTCATAATATGGCACATATATGGTGGTTGGAATACTATTATTACAGTATATTATGAAAATCCCTAAGGAACTGGATTAAGAATGTAGTATTTAAAAATGTAATTGCCCTAACAGTAATGTCTTGTGTAAAATATAATTATAATCATTTTTGCCAGCTTGCAAAAGGTGTACACAAGTTTCCATCTAGCTTTCCAAAGTTTAAGATAAAAAAAGGAAATTTATAAATTCAAGCTTTTCCTTTTATCAAACAGACATTGTTCAAGCCATAACATTCGTGAACTCAAGCTTCTTGTAGTTTTTCTTTGTTCCAGAGAAAAGATGTTAGCAAAATTGCACACTTAAGAAATATTTTATTTCCAAAAAATTGAGAGTATTATATCAAAATCAGGGAACATATGGGGCACACCATGCTTGTCCTTTGTATGAATCCTAAGCTACTATCAGCAGTTCCATCTTTTATAGTTAACTTTGCTTCTCTAGTATTAACGAAAACACTATGTAACCCCATGCTTTCCATTAATATAGTGTAAGCCAACCACTAAATTTTTAAAAGTGGAAACTCCTGGTCCTATTTCACCTTCAAAAGCCGAAAAACATTCTTTCACCGACTACAATGAAAATATCTGGTACATCATATCTTCCCTTTATGTGGCACAAACTAGTATTCAGAGTCCTACTTCACATCTCAATGTCTTAACATTCTGGTAAAAAATGGTAAAATTCTTCCTTTACCACCTGACAACAGTGTCCTGCTTGGATTTTTATTCATTTATGTAATAAAACATAAATTAATCAATTTACAAGTAATGCCTATATAAATTCACAACAACACACATGTTGAGTACATTATACTGATATGATTTTTGAGCCTCACCATGTTGTTACAATAGTATCGCCACTTCTGGTCATGCTCTACCTGATGAACATGCATCTCAATAACAGCCCTGCAGTGTAGTTTCCAATACAAAAAATGCTCCATTGTAAAGCTGTTACATCAAAAGCACAGCATTCCTCCCTGTGTACTTTCTATAATTCATCTAGTGTGAAAACAATGATTTACAATTACACTTTCGAACAATTCAATTACACCAGAATCAATAGATGTTGCATCTGTTGACTTAACTGGTAGTTCTTCCTATGGAATTGCATGAATATTGGTTTCATTTTCCAGCTGCTTGATGTATAGAATGATTAAATTGATAAGTCATGGAAGCAACTTGTGTTATTACTTTTTCAGACCGAGATCCTTCTTCATTAGGTTAGATACAGTTGCCTGTGTATGGCTTTTGCCACTGAACTTTGTGACCATGGATTCTCACCTGTTAATAAACAATACATCTTGCTTACCACAGTTGGGGTACAATTTGATTTGGGTCTTTCTCTCTTGAAAATCCTGGTGCCCAAGTTGATACATATTCACTTGTTTTCAATGTCATTAAGTGCAGTTCAAAGGTAGTCTCTCTGAGCCCTTTGAAGTACGCAGTGGCGTCAAACAAGGCTGTGTGCTCGCCCCCACTATTTTTGGGATCTTCTTCACCCTCCTCCTGAGATATGCATTCGGTTCAGGACAAGAAGGGATATATCTTCGGACTAGATCAGATGGTAGACTCTTCAATCTTGCCCGCCTGAATGCGAGGACAAAGGTTCGTAAAGTACTCGTTAGGGACATGCTGTTTGCTGACGACGCTGCAGTTGCGACTCACACCGAACAGGAACTGCAACTGCTGATGGACCGCTTCTCGCAGGCCTGCTAAGAATTCGGACTAACCATCAGCCTGAAGAAGACAAATGTCCTGAGCCAGAACACACTGGCACCACCAGTCATCAATATCGATGACTATGAGCTCGATGTCGTTCACCAGTTTATCTACCTTGGCTCTACCATTACTGACAGCCTCTCGCTTGATGCTGAGATCGACAGGAGGATTGGAAAGGGAACCACAATGCTTGCTCACCTTACGCCAAGAGTGTGGACAAACTCTAAGCTGACCGTGAAGATGAAGATGGGTGTGTACAGCGCCTGTGTCCTCAGCACCCTTCTATATGGCAGCTAGACGTGGACTACTTATGTCAACCAAGAGAACAGACTGAATACCTTCCACTTCAGAAGCCTGCGACGCATACTTGGTATCTCCTGGTAAGACAAGGTAACTAACATTGATGTCTTGTCTCTTACGAACCAATCTACCATGTACACTTAGTTACGACAGCGCCGGTTGCGCTGGATAGGCCACGTGCACCGTATGAAGGATGGCTGAATCTCAAAAGACATCCTCTACAGAGAGCTTGCTGAAGGACAGAGAGGCATCGACCGCCCGCAGCTGAGAATCAAGGATATTTGCAAAAGAGACATGAAGGTGCTCAACATCGACACCGGAACTTGGGAGGACATCGCTGCCGATCGTGCCGACTGGAGAAACACTCTCCATAAAC